GGTTAGTAAGTGGATAGTCGAGGCTATTTCACTTGCATACGAGTACTCTGACCATCCGTGTCCCTTGGTGGTCAGAGCTCACTCAACGAGGGGTATGGCGGCCTCTAAAGCCTTGTTATTTGGGGTTTCTCTCCAAGACGTTTGTGATGCGGCAGGCTGGTCCTCACCGCTCACATTCGTCAGGTTTTACAGTTTGGACCTGGATGCTGCCCCAGGTTCTCAGGTGCTTAGTGCTTAGTTCCAACAGACTGACACTCAGGTACTTGGAATTCTGGCGTTTTGGGTATTCTCGTTCCCAAAGCGTCAAGTGACGCATCGCGAGTTCCCTCGAAAGGGAACGTCTCAGGTTACTACTGTAACCATAGTTCCCTGAGAAAGGGAACGAGACGATGCGTCACCCTGCCATACTTCCTGCATCCCTGTGATCGGCTTGCTTCGACTTTTTGAAGCTAATGCCGCGTTTCACCGGATGTGCTCTTATGCCTTCCTGGTCATGACGTCACCCGCCCGTGACGCTCATTCTTTCCATTGGACTAGTTGACATTGATGCTCAGACGCATTCACGCTGGGGGCGTTCCCAAAGCGTCAAGTGACGCATCGTCTCGTTCCCTTTCTCAGGGAACTATGGTTACAGTAGTAACCTGAGACGTTTTTTTGTGTATCCAATAAAGGCTTGCAAGATTGCCATGATGACGCAGATGGGCCCAGTCAAGGAGGTCAAATTCTTTAATTTTGGATGGCTCCATTTGTCAATGTTTTCTAGTGTGTTTACTTCTGCGTTGTCTTTTTTTTTTTTTTTTGGATGACCAACTGGAAACATGTTTTGTTTTTTGTTTAGTTCTAAGATGCTTTATATGCACATATTTTGTTTTCTTTATTATTACTATTTTTTTTTTTAGATTGCTTAAATTGCAGTTTTGAAAATGGAAACTTGCACTTGGTTGTTCTTTGACAATATTAATAAATAATGCAAATGTTTTCAGAAATGTGTTTAAACTTCTCTTAACATAAGAAGGGGGCATTTTAAAATTTCTCTTTAGTGTATATTTCTCTTAGTGTCAGTCATATGGCACAGCATGCACACACAAAAACACACAGTTATGGTTTATTTATGTAATTCTTGGCAAACATGTGGCTGAACAAATGGCCTGCTTGTGGACCAGATCTGGCAAACAGGAGTGAATTGCAAAAGTGCCACCATTCCATGCTGCATGAGGAATGTTGGGAAAGACCAGTGTTTGTATAAAAATCAACTGTGGCCAGGTGTGGTTTATTTGGTTTGTGTTTGGGTTACATGTGGCATTGCTATGGCTTAATTGTGGCCCAAATCTGGCAAGCAGGAGGGGACTGCCTTAAGTGCCATAATTTTCATCTGGCCCACATACCACGTGAAATGATGGCACTTGAACGGTCCGTTCCTGTTTGCCAGATTTGGGCCACAATTAAGCCATAGCAATGCTGCATGTCAGCCATAAACAAAACAAATGAAGCAGAACTGGCCCACATCTGGCCCAGACACCAAAATTGCTGTGGCCCAGATCTGGCCCACATGCCACGTGGAATGATGGCCCTTGGGTGGTCCGCTCCTGTTTGCCAGATTTGGGCCACAATTAAGCCATAGCAATGCCGCATGTCAGCCGTAAACAAAACAAATGAAGCAGAACTGGCCCACATCTGGCCCAGACACCAAAATTGCTGTGGCCCAGATCTGGCCCACACTTGACACTTTCATCTGGCCCACATACCGCGTGGAATGATGGCACTTGGGCGGTCCGCTCCTGTTTGACAGATTTGGGCCACAATTAAGCCATAGCAATGCCGCATGTCAGCCGTAAACAAAACAAATGAAGCAGAACTGGCCCACATCTGGCCCAGACACCAAAATTGCTGTGGCCCAAATCTGGCCCACACTTGACACTTTCATCTGGCCCACATTCCGCATGGAATGATGGCACTTGGGCGGCCCGCTCCTGTTTGCCAGATTTGGGCCACAATTAAGCCATAGCAATGCCGCATGTCAGCCGTAAACAAAACAAATGAAGCAGAACTGGCCCACATCTGGCCCAGACACCAAAATTGCTGTGGCCCAGATCTGGCCCACACTTGACACTTTCATCTTGCCCACATACCGCGTGGAATGATGGCACTTGGGCGGCCCGCTCCTGTTTGCCAGATTTGGGCCACAATTAAGCCATAGCAATGCCGCATGTCAGCCGTAAACAAAACAAATGAAGCAGAACTGGCCCACATCTGGCCCAGACACCAAAATTGCTCAGGCCCAGATCCGGCCCACAGTTGACACTTTCATCTGGCCCACATACCCTTTGAACTTTAAACTGTGGGCCAGATGTGGGCCAGTTCTGTGAAAAGTACTATTCAAATAAATTTGAATTGAATTGAATAGCCACGATAGAGAAAGTGAATCTTTGCTGAAACTTTGCTGAATTATATATTCCAGGTGTCCAGACAGAGACAACATTGTCAAATTTTGATGTTAGCACAAAATTAGTTTCTCATACAGCTGTTGCGTCTTCCACGCCCCTCAAGACTTCATCAAAGAGACCTTGTCTGGACCTTGAGGAAGATGAAGATATCCTACAGGAATGCTCTTCAATACTAACAGCACAAGAGACTGATGTCACATTTAATCCTGCAGAGGCAGACACATCAATAACAGAGCCAAAAGACTTGTCGTAAGTTTATATTATATTTTAGAATAATGTTTGTTTTAATTATGGCATATCTAATTAGTTTGTTTTTTTCAGAGCTCAAGCATCCAGCCCTATTAAAAAAATCTGTAAATATATTGTCTATGAGACCTGCATCATGGAAGTGTTTGAGGTGTGCCCAGTATGTCATAGAAGCTGTCATATAAGATCACAAAGGATTGGAACATTTCTACGTGTTGAACAACTCTGCCACCATTGTCAGTTCTCATGGAAATGGAACAGTCAGCCGATTTTGGGCAGTACTCCAGCTGGAAACCTTCACCTTTCTGCTGCTGTGTATCTCAGTGGTGCTTCATTTGTGACAATTGAAAAGGTATTTGTAAATGAAATAATTAATAGCTTTGCAGTTACATGAGACTAAACATTTATAATGTAAAAAATATTATGTTTATTCATTTATTAATTTACTGTTTACCAACTTTTTTATATCTGTTGTCAGATATTTGCAGCTATGAAGTTACATCTTTTCAAGTACGACACCTTTCGTCGTCATGCACGAATGTGCATTGAGCCTGCTATTGTTTACAAATGGAGAAACTGGCAGGATGAGATGCTACAGCTGTTGGCTCAAAGGGAAAAGGTCATTGTTGGAGGAGATATGAGGGCTGACTCACCAGGTACATTGTGGGAGAAATTTACATTGTTTTTTTAGAAAGAAAAAAAAATAGAATTTTATCTTCTAGACAAGGCACATTGTGTAATAAGAGATTATGTATTTTTGTTTTTGAAGGGCACTCTGCCAAATATGGCAGTTACACAATGATGGACCTGGAGACAAACACCGTTGTTGATGTACAACTCGTCCAGGTAAATGAGCAGAAACCTTTGATGCAACGTCCTGGAAAACTTGTATATTTTATTTTCAACGCAAAAAAATAATTGTATTTTGATCCCTTGTCAGAGTAATGAAGTGCAGGGCTCTCAAGTTTTAAAGACGGGCAAGAGTGACCAGGGGGCGACGGGTCGCAGGAATGGTTGTATTTCTTAAGTAATATTATTATTAGTGTTTTTGTTGTTGTTATTAATAATTCCTCAGACTTGCAAAAGAGAAGATTTGATACATGGCACTGACAATTCAACCAAATACAAAGTATTTATTCTCTTCCTCTTCTACCTGCACTGTCTCCTCCTCTAATAGGCCTACCCTTTTTGCCAATTTCTCTGGTCCAGCATCCTCTAACCTGGCCTTTTTAGGGGGCTTTCCTCTCAGGGCGAATGAGAGGATGGTTAATTGCTTTATACCTGACATCTTTGAAAGACAGATGCAATGATTAATGCATCCATGGCCCGGATATAATTATAAAATATTACATGATTTTAAAAGTGACCTATAACATATGCAATACACTTTAATTTATTTAGTGCTTATAAAATTATTAAGCCGATTTGGAGAGAGAGATGTTTATAATGTGACAATATGTCAGTCATCGTGTGATAACAAAAATATGATTAGGGCTAAACTACTTGTTCTGAGCAGGTGTTGTCAGTGAACAGGCTGTAAAACTGTTGGCTAAGTTAAAGACATTCATGAAAAACTGATGCTAATTATCTGGGAAACGTTCTCTAACAGCAGTCAAGTTGTCATTGTTTGTGTCAAACAAATTGTGAATTTGTTGTTGTAACATTAAAACAGGAGATCGTGACTTATCTTGAATCTTACCCAGATACAATAGTGCTATTTTCTGATTGGCTATTGTGTGGACCGTTTCTTTTTTTTGATTGGCTGATAAGTGGCAGGCTCGACAAAGAACTGCAGGGGAGACGCGTGCTTGATTCCTGCCGGGTCCATAGTGAGAGCGACGCGGCCAGAGAAATTTGGGGCGCTGCGGCATATTAAATATATTATAAATAGTTTTTCAGCGTGAGAAATACAATGTGTGGCGGGAGTGCGTGACAAAAGACCGAAATGAGTGACTGTCACGCTCAATGCGTGACACTTGAGAGCCCTGGAAGTGGGAGGAAGTTACCACATGGAAAAGGAAGGTTTGAAGAGAGGTCTTGACTTTTTGGATGCTCGTGGTGTGACTCTGGACTGCATTGTGACTGACCGACATCCGCAAATACAAAAATTCCTCAGGGAACGCAATGTCAACCAATTCTATGATGTCACGTAGAGAAAGGTAAATAACCTTACTACCATCATATCATTTTCTAGATTTTTACAGACTAATAATTGCGATGAAACTGTATTAGCGGATGATTATGTGTTAGCGGAACATTTATATAAATATAAACACCACCATTACATTATATGTAATGACACATTGCTCTACTTATCGTGAGTGTTGTCATGTTTGTATTTAATTGCAATCTCCAGGAATTTCAAAGCAGCTGGATAAAGTGTGCAAGTTGAAGGGTTGTGAGAAAATACGTAAATGGTTGCATAGTATAAAAAACCACATCTATTGGACTGCTGTATCATCAAGCAGTGGACCTGAAAGAGTGGCTAAATGGACGTCTATGCTAAACCATATGCAAAATAAGCACACACATGAAGACAGCAATTTTCCAGCATGTCTACATGGAACAAGCAGAAGTCGAGACACAAAAAAGTGTCTAGCTGCTGGTATGTAGGCTAAAGAAGCAATAGTTACTTTTAAAAAAATGTATGCAGATCATATAGCTTGCCTTTTTTTATTTAAAAATACATATCATACTATAGTAACACTTCCAATAATTTAGGAACACTGCCATATTTCAAGTTGGAGAACAAGAGAATTTTGAAGGATGTTGCCAAGCTAAGTCCACACTACCAGACTTCTATCAAGGTTTTCCACAGTGTAATACTACGGTTTACACCAAAAAATGCGTTTTTTCCATTTCTGGGAATGTTGTGCAGGTAATGTTATTGTTGTAAAAATTACTTTTACATACACTGTAGACATTGTATGTTGAAAGTGTATTTATTACTTACAGACTATACCTGGCTGCACTACACTACATTACATGCCGGGCGTCCTCAAGCCACAACAGCAGCTAGTCGACCGGTGTTCAAAGGGACCTTTCCAAAGGCCAAGAAGGGAGAATACCGGGTCAGAGAAGTGAAGACACAAGCAAACTTCAGTATGTATAAAATGAGTTTACTTAACAAATTTAATACAAATGTACTTTTTTGCATTGTTTCTTACAAGCTATTTGAAAACTCAATATTTTACCAATTAAAAACAAAATAAAATGTTATATTGCACATGATATGTGGATGACCTGCTGGACCTCATATTTGATAAAGTCTTTGTGGATCCTGCACCATATGTGGATGATGTTTTGAGGATACCAATACCACCAGCATTGTGTGCAGAGTATGACCGGCCAGAGAAGGAGGAGGCCATCTCTAGTAGGGTATCTCGGTTTAATCAATAGGTGGTCGAAAACCTACATAACTGCCCTGGGCATCAGGAAACTCTCTTTGAATCCTCAGGACCACACACCCTAGAATCACAACTCGAACTTTTTGTCCAAGGAAACCCCAGCACCAGCTCACAAAACTCCGATAAGCTAAAAATCTGTAACGACTAACGCACACACACAGGCACATTCTCAAAACAAGGTTCAAGGATTTTTCTGTGTTTTTTTTCTTTCAAATATCTATCATTTGTTGTCTGGAGTTGAAATATTTGATATTTAATTGATCATGGTTCAATTTATTTTTGGAGGAATGTCCTTTTATTAAAATTATTTTATTTCTAAACTTATTTGTATAGTTCAGTGTCTTTATACATAATGTAAATAAAAAAAAAAGTATATACAAGTTGTTGTATATAAAGCTATTAAAGCTATAATATGTTTTGTTTTCACTATAATTTCCTTTGAATATAACCCAGGAAATATTAGAATAAAAATTCAAAGATTTGTAATATTTAGAAGAAATAGACATTTTTTCGTAAATGTGCTAATCATTAACACTCACTGTTGTACTCCACGAAGTCGCATGGGACCATAGCCAGCCCTGTAAATGTTAAAAGCGTTTTGTAACGAAAACATTGAAACAAACTGGATCCATTCCGGGATGGTCTACCATACATGATGGAGTGACTTGAAGTTGTTTCATCCGTCTTGTAACCTTCGATACAACAAATAGCGTCAGACAGTTTTATGTCACGTATTATTTTTTGCAACAATTACAAATGTAAATAAATTAATACCTGTTCTATCTCCCTGCAGCATATATTTTCTTGTTCTGTAGCCATCTTCTCACATTTGCCACATAAGCACCTGTACGACAGGTAATGTAAACATGACGCAACAGGTCCCTCGCATAAATGTAATTTCGTTTGTACGTAGAAAACGTTATCACAGTATTTGTGTTTGTAGTTTCAAAAAATTGCGCCAACGTTATCACAGTTTGTGTGTGTCTGTGTGTGTATTGCACATCCATAATTGCAAAGGGGACGCGATTACAACTCTATAAGTACATAAATGTATCAAATAACCATTCCGAGACGTCCTGGTCCATTCTCATTTGTGTTTCTTCTGCCGGAGTCTCTTCATCATCTGGGTCTGATTCCGGTTCAAACATGTACGGCTGAATGCATACAAAACAGCGGGTCTCTCACTCTCAGCCATTCTGCTTCTACCGACTGTTTATTGCCATAGGTATGCAAGTTACGCCCTCATCCAAAGGCAGGGCGGGGATATGCAGCTCATTTACATTTAAGGTGGTACACACCAAAACAGCTCTTTTTAACCCTCTGGGGACCAAGAACGCACCCGTGCGTTTTGGCAGATTTTTTTCACATAGCAGAAAAATAGACTTAAACTACTCCATCATTTCTGGTCATACAGAGTTATGAAACATATAAAAAAAACTGTTAAATGTCTACTTTTTTATGTGCAATCGAAATAAAATATTGTGCTTTTGTAAAATAAAGAAAATAAAGGTAACGCTTTAGATTACAGCCCGGAAAGTACTGTGTAATTAAGAGGAATTTAACAGTAATTTCTTTCGGTAATTATAGTGTACCTATAAAGTACTTGCATGTAAGTATAAGGGAACAATATGTAAAGTTTGGGGAATAAAGGGGTAACAACCAGGAGAATTAAAAAAATATTTATACTGTAAGTATTATAGAACTAAGGGGTACTTATTCTACTATTATGATATAACAATCTTACATTTGGGAGCAATTTAGCGAGAACACTGCGTACCTTTTTGTAATAATTGTGTACCAATACATACTGTATAGGCTTTTTTTAAATTACAGGGTACATATCTATGCATTTATACTTTTATTTATTTATTTTTTGATAGCAAAAGTGCAGATGTTTAAGTTTGGGCTAACATATTTCAAGGCAAGAAAAGCTAAGACTATTGCCATTTTTTTAAATACTGGGAAATATATCTTGTTTCATGTGGTTACAGGGTAAGTGGTACTTGTATAATAAATAAAGGTTTCCGAGTCAGTGATATAAGATTGTGTGTATGCATTTTTATTGTTACCCTGTAACTACATGGAACAAGAGGGTAACAAGCACCACTTTAATTTACAGCCCACAATGTCACACTTACCCTGTAACTACATGGAACAAGAGGGTAACAAGCACCACTTTAATTTACAGCCCACAATGTCACACTTACCCTGTAATTACATCGAACAAGGGGGTAACAAGCTACATGAAACAAGAGTATCTTTCCACAATATTTAAGCAAAAGTTGCAATAGTTTTCGTTTTCAGTGCACTTTTGTTAAAAATATTACATTTTAAAAATTACAGGGTACGCAGTATATGTTCTTGCTAAATTGCTCCCAAATGTAAGATTGTTGTATCATAATAGTAGAATAAGTACCCCTTAGTTCTATAATACTTACAGTATAAATAATTTTTTTTGTATCATAATAGTAGAATAAGTACCCCTTAGTTCTATAATACTTACAGTATAAATAATTTTTTAATTCTCCTGGTTGTTACCCCTTTATTCCCCAAACTTAAAATATTGTTCCCTTATACTTATATTGTAAGTACATTATAGGTACACTATAATTACCGAAGGTTACGCTGTAAAATTGCTTTAACTACGCAGTACTTTCCGGGCTGTAATCTAAAGCGTTACCAAAATAAACAGGGTGTGCGTTCTGCCTCTCCGTGTCCATGAACTTTTTTTCTGGAGCACGTCTCTAAACTTAAACAAAACTCAGCGAATACTATTCACCCAGACATGAGGAATATATGTTTATGATAATTTAAGTTTGTACTTTTAAATTATCTAATTTAAAACTAAAATAAATATTCCCTGTTTATGTAATCTATATAAAAAGAGAGAGGTGTCAGCCGTTCTCATTGTCGTTCTCGCATCTCATTATTCCGCTAATGTGACACGCCCACGGAGAGCGCGCGCTATTCAAACGCTAATGATCTGAAGCAACACATTTAGACGTGTAAACGCCCACACAAACTCGGTAAACACACTATATTTAGTCAGATTAATGTACTGTCGTCTTGCGCGGCTGAGAGGAATAATCCTGGGACATTTACCTACCTCAGAACAAGTGCTGGTTTTTTTTCACTTTGAGGAGCGAGCTGAGCTGTAAGTGCTTTGTTCTAATCGCGATATATAATAACGTTAGTGTCTGTAAACGCAAAAATAGCCTACTGTTTAAATTTGAATCATGTTTCTGTGTGTGTGTGACTAGTTCTCTTACGAGAGGTTCTCTCGTATTGCGTAAGCTACCTTACGCTACGGGAAAGATTCATCTTTTCTGAGAAATTGAAGCCAAAAATTATCCTATAATTTTGTATCTATTCACAACGCAGTTCAGCTGCAGCAGAGCATGAGTAGGCTAGCTAGCAGCTCATTGGCTCGCTCACAGGGAACTGCTTAAGCCTATGAGGAGACACGAATGAACTCTCGGCCAATGAGAGTCTGACCTGCTCTCATTGCGTCAGAGCCCGCCGAAACGGGCGTGGCCAGAGAGTATAAATTCGCCTCTCAGGCTGTAAATTCTGATTTTTCATATCTTCAGCGAGGCTACACGCATCTGCTGATCCTGAGAGAAGCCGCCGTCGTGGAAAAGGCACCTTCTAGCGAGCATCTGGGAGTCTGAGGAAGCCGGCCGTCTTCGCCACCTTCAGCCGTCCTGCAAGCTAGCGCCATCCGACGGATTCATATCCTTTACCAAAAAGCTTCTTGTATTGTGTGTGTGTATCTAAAAGAGCAGCGAGCGTCTTTTTTAAGATGCCTCGCACACCTGCGGCTCATGCCGCGTCCCTCTCAGCGCCAGAGCCCGCCTTCTTCTGCGCTCTCTGCCTGGGACTGGGACACGCAGAGCTTTCTCTCGCCAACGGCGGATGTTTCCTCTGCGATTGGGCTTCTGTTGTTGACCCTGCGGGCTCGACTCGAAGCGTTACGCCGCCTCCCCCTCTCACCGCCTACGAGCGCTGAATGGGGGACGAGCCGCTTACAGCTGTGCCAACCGCGGCTAGCTTTCTTTACTTTACAAGAGAGCTAGCCCGGCCCCATGCATACGCGTCACCGGCAAGTGGGTTTATAGTGCGTTAAGTTCCGTCGAGGCCGAACTAGTCGCTGCTATCACACCCTCTTATCTGCTCGCGCTATTAAGCCGGTGTCTTCCCCCTAGCTCAGTGGTGGAACACAAAGCTTTTCGCGCCAGAGACCCGTGTTCGATTCCGGCTCTCGCAGATAATTTTTTATGCAGCTCTGAGCTCTCGGCTAGCTTTCTTACGTTACAGAAAGCGGCCGCGCTCTCCCGCCTGCATATAACGCCGCTACATAAAGCGTTTATAGTGTATCAGTTCCGCTGAGGCCGAACCTGTTTCTGCTATCACGCCCTCTTATCTGCTCGCGCTGTTATGTTTGTGTCTTTACCCCTGGCTCAGTGGTGGAACACAAAGCTTTTCGCGCCAGAGATCCGTGTTCGATTCCGGCTCTCGCAGATAATCTTTATGCAGCTCTGAGCTCGCGCCCAGCTCTCTTACGTGACAGAAAGCGGCCGCGCTCTCCCGCGCTCATGAGAAACGTTCTCATTTCCGAGCATAAAGCTGGACAAATGGGTTATAGTGTGTTAGTTCCGCTGAGGCCGAACCTGTTACTGCTATCACGCCCTCTTAACTGCTCGCGCTAC